TAAGAAATGTTTTACAATTGTTTACACACACACGCATGCACACTCTGTTTAAAGTGTTTAACAAAGGTAGACCAATATTTGTAAGTCCGAGGTCAAATTTTGATCACAGCTCATACAATTTTGTTTATTATACTTGTTGATACTTGTGTTTATGAATCATGATTGGACAAGGTTTTTTTAAAAAACAAAAGATATGCCTTTTATATATAAAACCTCTGTTATGTTAATTTTGATTAATTTCCCTGAAGAAGTTCGGACCAAATTGCCGAACGAAACGTTGGAATTACTCATTTCAGTATCGCTGAGATATTACAAATATAATTTTTTAGAGTACATTAGTTGGCTAATACATTCTGTCTCAGTGACTTAATGGCCAGAGGGCTAGCCTCATGACTTCCACGTCATGTCTTCGATCCAGGGAGTACACGGAAGAAGATTCCCTAATCCGGACGAAACAGCTGTCCAGTACTCTCTTACTTTTAGGAATGAATAATTTTCAAAAAAACATTTGACTTACAATTTCCTAATAATATCAGTCTAGGTGTGAATAATTGTTAATGAATAAAACATACAACTTTCATTTCATATGCTAATTTGTTTCTGTATGTTTTCTCAACATACATTTCCCAACATTAATGCTATCAGACAAAGCAATATCACCAAAATAATATTAATGACTGTAAGTATATATATATACGAAACAACAGTTATTTCACTTAGCTAATAATTAATTGACTGCGATACTCTCTAAGGGTTGGGAAGACTACCAGTGATGTAACAGGTGGTGCATCAGAATCATTCCAGACAGTCACACCATCAATTAATAACATTTTATGGAATAATAAGCAACCAGTTTATGCATCATTCATATGAAAGTTGGGCGTTAACTATGATGACTGCATTGAAAAGATGGCCTGATTAGCATTTGCGTCAGTTCGGTAGCCGTAGGGAGGCTGACTGACTGATTCATCTCCCCTTCACTCATTCATTGGATTAATTCGTGAAATATTGAAGTCGGCAATTGTTTTCTTATAAATGTATATTAGAATGCATGATGTGAAATTCCCTCCTAGGTAGTTTACACTTAGCTAAATACTTCTGCTAGTTTTGTTATATATTGCCTCTGTATTGTACCCGTCTTCCTTTGGCTTAATCCTTTTCCAATTTGTTTTTGTTTTTGATTAATTCTTATCCTTAATACTCCTTTTTGGTATTGTGTGATGCTCATCCATTGCAAATAAGGTCTTGTTGTACATTTGTCGGTATAGGATCTCATCATGAGCTGATATCGGTTAGAGAAACATTGGATAACCTGGCAGTACTGCACAGTTATTTTGTCCTAGTTTGGGACTCTTCAGCAGCTGTCCAATGCTTCAAGGTTTTCCACCAGTTCTCTAGCCGATGTCAGCTCATGACAAGTTCCTGTAGCCAACCAAATCATAGCAAACCAACACTTGAATCGTCGGTATTTTCTCTGACCTCCGGATCTTTGATTGTCTGCTTAAAAATATTTATTGTTCTGTTCGATTACATTTTGATGAAAATATTCTCAGGTGTTTGACATTTGCGTTTAGATAACTATTTTTTGTTCTATAGTACGTATTACCGTACCGGCCTAACAAGTAAATCCTTGTTTGATTGTGCCGAAAATTTCATCAAATTAGGTCGAAAATCATCTTTGCCCGTGTATGACTCAAGGACACTTTAGTCAAATATGCTGATAACGTAGGAAGTCATGTGACGGATCACATCAACTTGGTTACGTTTATTTATTCCCTCTGTTCCTCAGTTCAAATCGAAATACTCTGGCTTCAGTCGATACAATTGTAAACTGTATTATTATTATTGTTCCTTGGGTTACTAGTGGAATATAGGGCTCCAACCGCACGTCTCCACTTGCTTCTGTCTTCTGCTGTACTTTTCACCTTCATCCATGTTAATCCATACTGTCTCAACTCCTCTTCACATGATCTCCTCTATGTCACCCTTGGAGGAGTTAAATAATCAATACAAACTGACAAATATGACTTATTTCCAAAAGATTAGTGGTCCACATTCACTTCCCAAATGACACACTTTTAGAAGTCACATAGTTTAATAGTCGATAGTAACCCCTAGAAGAAGAGGAAGGTCAGGTGTGTTTATTCAAGCAACCCGATGCCGTATAAAATAGACAACACATCTACATTCAAATTAAAATGCACGAAAATGAAAAAGAAACCACAAAATAAGGGTACTAAATAAATTATCAAAAGCATCCAGGTACCGAATACTCCAAACAGCAGAGGCTATCACGATCCACCTAAATCAACTGGTGCTTTGTGTACAGAAGAAACAGGTACAACCACTGTTACTAACCTGGCCCTCTGTGGAGTCTGCAAATTCACAAATACCTTATTACGTCAGCCTTTATTGATATGGCCCTACATCCTGTACATACAAAATCCCCTATCCCCTGTCATTAAACCTGCACTAAGTGACCTTTGTTTTCTTATTGAAACGTAGTCATTAACTCACACACTGACACACACAACTCACATAAAATTCAACGCCGAAAGTCTCTTTCCCCTACCTCTGTCCTTGACATGATCATTTATCCATCTGAAGTTTATAATCAATGTGAATAGAATCTGATGTGAATAAGACTCAGGCGAATTTATTACTCTACATTCCCTGTTCATGATCATTTACTTTGTAATATTGGTGTTCAATTTAGTATGATACGTACAATTATACATATTACCACATGCATTATATATTTTAGATTGTTCTCTATTAAAACAATCTATTTGCGAATAACTCTTGGAGTTCTGATCTAAATGGTTCGATGTTACTCTTTTTAAAAACCACTAATGCTGTCAACACCAATCATTCTTTCATTATTGTGAATGTTTAACTGTAGAGCTTGATGAAGAGGGAGGTTATCGAAAAGAATATTCTTTGTTCAGTAACCAATCCACCAAAAAGGGTCAAAAAAAATTTTGGTTTCAAAATGCAGTTAATTAACCTTCTAATTAAGTATTTCTTATCATAAATTTTAAAATTAGGAATGAGAACTATTCACTAATTAGTTGAAGCTTTTTAAAACGTCAGAATTCTTGCTGATATAAGCAGTTGGATGGTTGGTATCTATCTAACTGCCTGATACATGTAAATGGAATGAAGTTTCACAAGGATATTAAAATTTGCACATCACGCTTTTTGAAATATCACGAAAGAGAAGAAATGGAGAGATGCAGGAAAGAAATCGGCATTTTCCGAGGAAGGAGAGATAACGACTGTGTAAGACATTGAGTTTACATAAGGAATAACTTTTGAAAAATGTTTTAGAACTGATTTCACATCATACTGTCCAAACACGATGGCGTGTCAGTTATATACTACTTATTGATATATACATGTACGTCGGTAGTTTAGATGTTGAACGCTCGCCAACCATGCACATGGTTTGGAATTCGATCTCCTACAGATGCATTCCTAAACGTCGCTAAGCCGGTAAGTAAGGCTGGTAAAGAGGGAAGACTGGACGTGAGACTAGCAACCCCAACCCGCAAAAATAAAACCACTGCTACCGAAAATTGAAAGTTCTAGCCTGAATTCCTATGTTCCACTCGGCACGTTAAGGAACAAAATAAAGTGATAATACTAATATTGATATGAGTAGTTGGGAATGACTCAGATGAAGCAGAAGTGATTGCTAGCTAGATCAAAGTTATCTGGATGGATGTTTGGCTTGTTTGGACTTGACCAGTTGAACTAGGTCAGCTTCGAAGACCGAAGCTGCTAAGAGCACCCGAATTTCGGATAGCTACTTGGATGAATTGGTAATGCATAGAATGAGATTTGTCACTTTACAATCAGGGCAAGCTGCTAATCAGCGCATAACCGAACCAACAAAATGTTAGTCCCCTAGTTTTGGTTTACAGGGATTTGATTTGATTGGTTACAGGATTTCATCATGAACTGACATCGGCTAGACAACCATTGGACAGCCAGCTGTGTCGTCCTAGTCTCTTGAGACTCTGCTTCAGCAGTACGCACCTAACCCACAGCAAGGGTTCGAACGCACAAACTACCATTTACAAGGCGAGCAAGCTCGCAGATCAGCACGTATCCACTGGGGCTCTCTAGAGGTAGTGCTACATCGTGAATTAGCAGAAGTAGGAAATCACAGGTTGGTAACTGGATCGAGTCCCAGTGGATAACGAATGGTCTACGAGCGTGCTCCCCTTGTAACCGGAAGGTCGTGAGTGTAGAACCCTAGTTGTGGGGTGGGTGCGTACTGCTGAAACAGATTTCCAAGAAACTAGGACGAAACAGCTGGCTGTCCAGTATTCCCAGATACTTTTCCAATAGCTGTCTCTAGCCCATGTCAGTTCATGATGAAATCCTGAAAATGTTAGTCTTTTATTTATATCAATTTGATCTGGCTAACAAGTACCGCTGCTTGACGTAAAGGATTTGTAACTACTAATTTAAATCAATCAGTACTATATACCTCCACTCTACTCCACTTGTTTACTTGATTCATGTTTATGCTATCAAGGAAGTTGTGACAAATTCTCACGTTAGTTTGAGTAATTTGTAAATATCGAATTCAATTGTACAAGGAGCATACCTGAAATGTTTCAAAAATGATTTCAAAACACATGTCACTCCAATCAACATGTGCAGCACCATCTAGAGACATTCATAAACCATATCATCGGAAAGTATGATTACATCGACTATTTTTTTGCCTTTAGGTCTGTTTGTACTTCCTGGAACAATATTGGACTTCATTTAGCCTATCGGTTGATGAAGAGGGAAGGTTAGATATGACGCTAGCAACCCTATTCAGTGCAGACAGCTCCACTGGTGACAAAACTGCAATTCTATGAGACATCGTCTGTGAGTTGATGTATTCAATGGTCATCAGATAAAGGAAATGGTATTCGAAAATATTCATAAACAACAAAATTTCTTCTGATGAATTCAAATATTAAAAAAAGGAAACTTACTGTACTCTTTGATGCTGTAGCACGGAATGCTGGAGGTGTTCGATTCGCATTAGAACCATCTGATTCGATCTATTCAAGGGAAGGAAGTTAAGAGAAGAATAATGCATAAAGTCTAGTGATATAGACTTAAGAGTATTTACTGAATCTACTAAGCGGATTCAGAATATTGAAAAAGCACCCAATAAGTATTGTAACGACAGAAGACAAGGGCCAGATAACACATCGTTTATTGAGAAAATCAATAGATATTTATGCATTTTTATGTACATTATTATTAGCGTTATTGTTAGCGGAGAAGCAAAATCCTATGATTGATTGTTTTCTGGCTGGAGGTTATTCTGTACTGCTTGCGGCCGTTTCTTAGAAAGTTAAGCCATATATCTGCGAATCATATTTACACACGTTAATTCTGCTGTGATTGGTTGGTGCGTTCCACAAAGTTAAGCTTTGTTATTGTTTATTTCTCATTACACCAATTCGGGACATAAACATTGACGTAAACTGTTGTCTGCAATTCTGGCTTGCAAAGAGCTGTCACCACAGTATGACTATATGAAGCACTATGATGAATTTTTTTCAGGAAGTAATCTTTAGAATATTTCGCCTGACCTGCATTGCCTGCGTTCTAGGACTCAATCAACAAGACAGGTAAGTAGATAACTTTTCTTGAAATCATGGACGAATTCATATCACGTTCAGAATTCTGATTTGTAGAACTTATCCTGAGGCTTTTATTCATAAATTCCTCAAAATTAGTACTTTAGAAACCCTCAGATGAATTCCAATTAGTAAAGACTTAATCAAGAGGAGCCGACTGACGTCTAGTTCTACCTCAGCCTTTATTCTAATAACAACGATTACAATGATAGTAATAATAAGTGATAATTATATTGCTCTTAGATTATGGGCGGTCACCGCTACTTATCACTTATCCAAGTAACTTCACGATAATTATTAAAAAGGAGGATGCAGTGAAGTAAATTTTCTTTTCGACGAAGTCATCAACAGAGGATGTACATTCGTGTATTTATAGTAAATTCATGAAAAACTTCCAGAATTATTTCCGGTCAAAGGTTAAATTAATAAAATTACAAAGTGTAATAATCAGGAAGATCAGGTAGAAGAGACATAATGAGATCATAATTACTGAATTACTGTTTGTACAATTACGGATTAAGGATGTAGTAATAACAAAATAGGTGAGGAGTTCAGACATAAAAAACAAACTCACAAATCTAGTAATGCAGATAGGAATTAAAAACGTCAAAATAACAGGAATGAACAGGAAAACTGAATAAGAAAGGTAATAAGACAATCATTATTGATGGGACTGACTTTTCATGATGGTCACGATAGGGACAACGGTTGGAAGTATTTCTTTTGAACACATAGTGCGGGCTTAAGCTTTGGGATCACCAGTGCCTCAGCTATTCCTAGATGCCTGATAGGTTTGATCGGATGTTGTATATTACTTTGAAGGACTTTTCATCAAATGGAGTTGAATGTCCTGAATTCACCAGTTGTTCTGTTACTGAACTGTATTTTGTGTCTGTTAACATTACACCGCTCTAAAAGTATGGGAATGATGTGAAGCATGATGTGACGCCATCTCGGCCGGGGTAACCTGTAATGGGCATGTTATGAGAGACTCCGCATATGTATGCAGAGGAGTGTATTATGTTTGTAACGAAAGCTTGAATGGAACGCTGTTGTGGTACGTCTGTCTCTCTGTGGGGCCGCCTCGCGGAACCATACAGTCTGACCTATTGTTCATACTTTGTCTGTCCTTCAACTTTATGGGGGTCCGGGGTCCCGAGCAGGCATGAGTAGATGTAGCGGCAAAGGTTGGAGGCCGTAGTATATATGCGGATTAAATGACGGCTAGTATGGGTCATACTATCTTGGCTACCCTAACGGGGCAGATTCGTAAGGGCATACGCTGTCCACTAAGGTAATATGATGAAGCGGGGTTGTGTGAATTATGGATTGGACGTGGGTTTCACAACCTTTTCATCAATAATTGCGAATGTAATATGATACTTACAAGTTTTGATAGCATATTCAACTGTGATCTTAAATGTTGTATTTCATTCATTGAATCATAAAGTTGTGGAACTTCTACAGGATTAATACTGCCTCGTCTATTTCTTGTATTTTGATCATGATAACTTGATTTAGTATTGCGTGGTAAAGAAGATGTACTCGAGGGATAATAACCACGTGGAAGTGCTGATCTTATATTGATTGGTGCTGTTGAAATAGACGATTCTCTGTAAAATAAGAAGAAAAATGAAACAAGAAATATATACAAATCATGAATTCCATGCTGTCTTTCACAAACTATAGTATAAGATATTATTGAAAGAGAAGGCGTTCAACGAAGAGATATTCTTTTCGGAGATAGCACTCGCAAGTTGTACAATAGTACACATATATAGTAAATTATCTTAGCAACAAAGGCAATATTTCTGAAGATGTTTCATCAGGAGTGTAAATTTTAGTTGGAAATCACGTAATGTTCAAGAATTAGTTTGTAAGGATTCAATTTCTTTCAGGTTAAACCACGGATTGATATCAGTTAGAAAATCATTGAAAACCAGCACTGGAGAACTGGACAGCCAGCTGTTTCATCCTAGTTTTGAACTCATCGGTCGTATGCACCCACTGGGTTTCGACCAGGAACTTCCTGTTACAAGTTGAGTGGGCTCGTATACCATTCAGCCACTGGGACCCGATTCAATGGCCCATGGCTTTCAATGGTTCTCTAAATGACATCGATCTTTAGTCTAACCTGAAATCACGTAATTTAGAAAGCGTTAATCGAGTAGAAATTAAAATTAAATTTAATCAGTAAGTTGAGTGGCGTCATATAATTGACGCAGTTGAGTAGAATTCAACTAAAACTTCGAGGAGAGTCAAGTTAACAATAGTGGTAATAAGCGGTAGAGATTTAATAGGGTGTGGAATAAGAATGTAATACAATTAAGAAACAAAAACCAAAAAATTACGTATTTGGTGTGCGTCGGTGGCACAGTGGTTATGACTCTTGCCGATCATGCACACGGTCCGGGGTTCGATCCCCTGCCGGCGCACACCCGATATCTATGGTCGGCCTGAATTCGGGCTACCGATATCCATGCTGAAAGTTCCACACTTGTACTGAATATACGGTGTGGAATTAAGCTGTAAATCAAAATAATAAATAAATAAAATAAATAGATCAGGTCTGTTGTAGGTTTATTGACTGAACAAACTTCCTCGTGTGTATGCAGAGTTCAGGATTTAACATGTGAGTCGACATTGCTTCTGCAGTTTGAAGGAGTTTGATTAGTACTATTCCAGTGAGATCGCCAAGTATTCTGTAGACAACCTTGAAGTTTCTTTGGGGGTTAGCTTGTTGTTCAGATTGGATCAGGTGTTCCAGTATAAATCTGCTGTGGCAGGGGAATCTTTTCCTCCTTTGTGAAACTTTGGGTACGTGTTCGATGATACATTTTGATAGCGAACGCTGGGTACGGCCGACACACGAGCAGGTTGATTGGTAGCTGCACAGTGATGTGGCTGGCCAACAGTGGAAGCATATCCTACGCTCTCATGCGAGTCATTGATTTCGTAGGGAAAGTTAGTCGAAGTTCAGCCGCGAAGGAGGCTTTCTTCAGTAAGCGAGACAGGCAGTTTTTCAGCATTTTCGCTAATGAGTCTCCGTTGAATTTTAGATTCATGCAGAGACGCTTTTTGGGAGTAGAAAGTGTGGGTAGTTATCATTATTATTATTAACATTATTATTAAGATGCCTTTAAACATGAACCACTTGGCAGTTACTTATAGCCAGATTAAAGAGGTGTAAATTCATTTTCATGAGGTTGATTTCTCTCATTCAACTGTGCAGCTTGCATTGTCTATCTAGACAACATCAATTCAGCACAAACTTCAGTCTGAAACGAACTTATATGAGTTCTTCATGAATTATATAGTTATATCTCCTGAAAACTGTCGTTGTGATTGAATGTTAATTCGCATCATTATTGATTGTGTTTATTGACTTGGAATTTAATGTTTCTTTTGTCATATGGCCTATTCTTTATTTGTTGGTAAATTTGGTCGAACAAACATCTCGAGAAATCCAATTCATAAGAAACGAACACTGTACAGCCACCTCTATTCAACCGCTGAGAAATCCAGTTGAACTAGAAAAGTTTGAAAAATCATCAGCCATAGCTCCTCTACACGTTAAAGTATCAGGCAACAATTTTGATTTTGATAAAATTGAAATAATCCAGAAAAGGCATTTCAGAAATCACAAAGAACGTCTAATATCATCAGAAGCACTTCATACGAAAGGGAATCCAAATTGTCTTAACTGAATAGGAATGATAGGCTAAAACAGAATTTGACTTGGTTACAACACCTTCACCACTCCCCCATGGAATGACAAAATCAACACGAATGTCATAAGCAGTTTCCCTATGTAAACACTCACTGCGTTTATAATTTTACACACTTATCAAATCCAACAATCTACACCTGGTTTTGTTATCTGTACCAATTGGCCAACTTGACAACGCAGAAATGACCGCATGCTAAGGAACGATGATTAAGTTGTTGTATATAAGCTGAGATTTTGTAAATTCTGGTTTAATGATACTTACATAAAGCTGTTAGCATTAAGTAGCTAAACGTCAGTAAAAACAACGACAATATCTTTTTGTTTTTCATTCACATTGGGAAATACAGAAAACCTTTATTATGATGAATATCATATACCCAATGACCAAGACTTAACTTGGTTTGGAAATATATAACTTATAAAATGACAGATATAAATTAATTAATTATTGATTTCTTATGAAATAAGGTTAGACAGTTGTCATCAGTAAGAAGTTTAATTAGGTTTAAAGAATTTCAAATAAGCCGCAGCATTTTACAAGAATTAAATTAATGAACGATAATTGACAGAAATATTCTTCGTAATAGTCGGTCAGTGAAGAAAATAGGTTATAAATCAGCAGGTTGGTCTTGACGTCAGTAGACTGAAGTCTGCCAGTCAGATAAAGTGTATGTAGGCTATGCTAGATTACAAGCATGACACGTTTACGACACCCTGTACCGCGTTCTCCACGTCCTCTGACTGATAGTTTACTGTATGATAATATTAGGGTTAATCAGCTGGTTAATACATTTTTAGGTACCACCGATTAGACAAAACTAGATGCTTCCATATTAGTTTATTTAATAAGATGTATCATACAGTGAAGAAACAGTATTATTATTTACTGGTTGACACTGTTTCGAACAAAGTTTATTGTTCATAATCATACCAGCTATAATCACACGACTTCGAAACTTGAGTTTCATAGTTTTCTTTGTTCTCTCCTATATGTCGTCGTAGGGGTAGTAGAATTTTCCATATGTCCTGCTGGACAGGTGTTGAATCATTCCAATTACACACGCATTTTCAGTTGATTCGATAAACAAGGCTTCCGTTATCAATCTCTCCCTATACCCGGTGACATTAGATTTTAAAACTGTCATCTTATCTCATCCCAGCCCATTTTATGGTTGTGTGTAATTGCATGTAGTGCTACAGCTGAACTATTCTCTAGATTTCTTATCTTATTTGGGTCAACTAATCTGAATTTTGTTTATAATTGATATGATTATGAACAATAAATTTTGTTCGAAACCGTGTCATCCAGTAAATAATAATATTATTTCACTGTGTGACACATCTAATAAACAAACTAATATGGAATTACTACCACAGTGCCCAAGTTTTACACATATATTAAAACTAGATGCTGTCATTTGCAAGACTTAATTGAATATTACTCATTTGAACTTAACACTTAAACATAAGAAATAAAACAGATTATCGAAAAAAGTAGTAATCGATACGACTAGATCAGATTAGATTCGGTTAGAATTATCAATCATAAATCATAAAAGTTTTCAAATATTTTCATCTTTAAATGAGGTCATATTAACAGTAAAGGATATCCACAATGAAGTAGATGGTAAAGGTGAGAGAACTAAATCGAATCGATCGTTTAAAAGGGGGATAAAAGCTTTGATGAATTACTAGTTCTTAATATTATGAATGAACTCTTGCCTTCTTGTTGAGCATAATGATAGTAAAGGAATTATCATCAAAGGCATTAGAATTTAATATGACATATATTCTATTAAATCATGGATTCGAACAGTTAGAAACCGATTTTGTCGAACAATGAAACTTGTCAGCTATAATCAGATGACCATTTCCCTATTCTGAAGGAAGGGGGCTAAAGTTATCACTAAAATTCCCAGAGAAACTCACCTCAGACGTCTGAATCAGCTAAACCATCTGAATTTAGACTAACTACTTTACCCAACAGTTGATGCATAGAATTAATAGATTGATTGATGAACAGTATCATGAGTTAATCCTCTGTGTTGGTTCTGAAATGCGCTGGACAAGTATACCTTTTTCTGACATCAGATAGTCGAAGGTAAATGGTAGGATACCCTAGATGGAACTATCGTGCTTAGTGGAATTTGTCAACGTGGTATCATTTACACAGTAGAAGTAACTGACCTCTCCTTGAAGATTAAAACCCCCTTCACCCACTTCTGAAGTCAGGTAGGTTATCATTGAGGCTATTCAAAGCGTAAAGGGGTTCTCGGCTTTGTTGAGATTACATTCCCTCACCTGACAACACACTGATATTATGCTAAACAAGTATATTGTTTTATTTAAAAAAACTTTACATCGTCTAGCTAAACTAGTGTCTCTAGGTAGGCGTTTCTATTCAACCATTACTGATATATACACATTTTTTTCTTCATTATTTAATGAGACGAATTTTATAAGTTTTCAAGTCGATAGAAAAATTTAAAAAAAAAAGTGTAATGACAGCAAGTTTATCACAGGCAATGATGTAAATATTGTTGACAGTTAGTCAGCTATGAATATTGACTGAAGTTTATTCACCCGTTAGATTCCCAATGAAAGCAAATAGTTAATCGTCATCAGAACTGTCAGGATGTTTCTGTTTTGATCGAGAGAAAATAAATCTACGACACGTAAAAGTGTTATTTTCGTAATTCTGTCTCTCTTATTGAGCAGTAAAATGAGATTTAAAATTATAGGGAATAATACAAGACAGAAAGACATTGTAAGTTTCAAGACTGTGTAGATTTTACGAATTACCTGAAACAATCTTAGCATTGTAAATTATTTAAAATAATTCCAGAATATTTTAGAATAACTCAAAACACGATTCTTCTGAAA